GCCCTTTTAACAGTTTTTTCCTGGGTGTTTTTCCCGACTGGTGTGTTGAATCTTGGGACAAAAACTGACCTAATTTGCCCGAAATGCTCAGCATAACAAGGGGCTTTCCATATAGTAGTATGTCATTGTCAGCTAGGCCTGTATACCATTGTACATGTACTTGTAGTAAATAAAGATAATATATTATTATTGTTATTATTTGTGTTACAGAGGGAGAGAATGCGCAGTACGATTCGAGCCACTGTTTGGAGACGAGTTTTCTGCTTGTTACGGATATTCCCTTCTTCGCCGTATAGGGTCAAGAAATTTTTTCCCACTAATTGACTCGCCTGACACACCACAATTTGATGATCCTCTGCAGCAGCAGCAGCAGCAGCAGCAGCAGCAGCATCAGCAGCAGCATCAGCAGCATCAGCAGCAGCAGCAGCAGCAGCAGCAACTGCAGCACCCAGACTTTGGCTTTGGTAGCCAGGTTATTGTTAATGCATCAGCTTCCACTGCTCGACGAACTCAGGAACAAGAAGCGCTACCAGGGCATGAACTGTCACAGGCACAACTTCAGCAGCAAATAGGTGCTGGCTGGGAAATCATGGTGGAAAACACCAATATGGTAAATATATATACAATTAATATACTGTATTGCATAGCTAAAATAATTATAAATGTACTCAGAGTACAGGGATATTGTGATATATGTTTAGAGGTAGCACCAGAAAATCCCAAACATACAGTGGCAGTTCTTAACAGGGGTTTCAATAAATTATTTTTTTTTTTTATTCTGTACAAGGATAATGTAGTTTATACGTAATAAAACATTGTTAGGCACAAAAGAAAGCCACTAGTATGCAAATGCATTTTGGGTGAACTAATCATAATGATTTAGATAGATTTATTGGATTTTTAACCCAGAGGTTAGCTACCCAGGATAACCCAAGAAAGTCAGCTCATTATCGAGGACTGTGTCTGATTTCCATTGGGGTCCTTCAGTCTTGTCCCAAGGATGTGACCTACACTAGTTGACTAACACCCAGGTACCTACTTACTGCTAGGAGAACAGGAACAGCAGGTGTAAGGAAACAGCCCAGTGTTTTCACCCATGCTAGGGACTAAACCGCAGACACAGTATGTGAGGTGAGAGCATTAACAACTGAGCCAATGGACTACTTAAGAATTAGGCAGATTAAGTAGGATTTTTATGCAGTTAACTATTATATGACAAAAAGGGTAGCCAAATAAACAATGGTAAAATTTTTTGAAGTATGACTTAATGTTTCAAACTGATTCAGTGACCTTCTGTTAAGTAGGATTTCTTAAGCAGTTAACCCTTAAACTGTGTCTGATGTATTGGTATGCAAATGCTGTCTGTGTCCGACATGCTAGTGCAGTATGCAGAATTTTTCGCACCCTCAAATCTACCACCTGCCAGTATTTTTGACCTTATCACATCTCTGGTCTCCCATCTATTCATACATTTGAAAAATTTCTAAGGCCAGCAGGGTCCACACAATGCATCATGGTTAACTATTCAGGTGATGGCTGTATGTCTGACTTACTTGTATACCTAATTAGCAAAAGTTAATAAAACCGGGTGCTGTTTCACCACCAGCTTTCCTACCAGCAAACAGGGTGGAAGTTGCACAAAGAAGATTTATTCAGTCAAAATTTATTACAGTTACATGTTACTAACAGTGGAATCGAGTCATGAAGCACACTAGGTACAGCTAGGTCTCGATCAGTGTGAATAATGAATCATGTGAAGTGATTGCAGTATTCAGATTCATGCTATTTGAAGTTATATGTAAAATGTAGTAAATGGTTCCAGCTCATTGGAAATATGCAGTGAAAATTTTTAACAAGTTTTCTTTTATCTATTAGATATAACAACAAAGGGTAAGAAAAGGGTATTTCTGATTGAAATTTATTGCAGAGTAGTCGAGTACATAGTTATAGAAAGTAAAACAAAAAAAAAAATTGAATATCGTGCCTGGTGATGACAATAGCATCATTATTGTTGTTTAAAATATTTTAGCATTGGTTGAACAGTCTTCTCTTTCTTTAAATCTTCATTAACATTATGCAATTTATTTATTTTTAACCCTTTCAGGGTTGGAACCCCTGATCTGAGAATTGCTCTCATGGTCGGAGAATTAAAAATTTTTTTTTTTTTTCATATGAAATGATAGCGATTCTTTTTCCGAAGGTAATGAAGTCAAAAGCATGAAATTTGATGGAAAACTTACGGAATTACACTCTTGCAAAGTAAGCGGTCTCGGTGATATTTATGCATTGGCAATTTCACACACTTTGAGCCCTAAATAACTTTGAGCCCTATTTTCGATCAACTCCATTGTTCCAGTCGACCAAACTCATAGCTACCTCACTGGTATTCCTTTTATTCTATTATTTGAGTACAAGAAACCACCCATTTACCTATTTCAACTACCAAATAAAGTGATCAGAAATCAGTAATTTGGCCAAATTCACACGCGAAATTAAAAAATTTCCTAATTTTTCAAACTTGGGTCAGAATAATAATGTGAATATTCCTGGCACTAGAAAAAACATTTTCTCTGTTCATTGTTACTTCTTCAGGTTTCACTTATATTATGCTTGCTGTTTCTTTATTGATTTTTTATATACCACACCTTTCGATTTACTGTTTGTGCAGACTACTGCATTCTTGTGAGTGCGTAGTAATATCTAGTCTGTGTGATTTTTGGATTCGTAAATTATTTTTGGAAATGTTAACTCTTTTTCGTCCCATAAATGTTTGACTCCCTCACTCAGTGATCGTCATTCGAGCTCAGTATAGGTCCATTTGTCCAAAGCAGAATCGCTATGGTCAAAACTGGGGGATGCCAACAGCAATAATATGAGATGTGTAGGTCAGTGACTTGTAGGACTTGTGGTAGCAGCCCAACTTGTAGGACTATTGTGGGTAGCCAGCAACTTGTAGACTTGTGGTAGCCATGTGGCACTTTCGAAGTACTGATGTAGGGTAGTCCAAGGCAACCTTGTAGGAATAGTCGACTTGTGGTAGCCAGGCAACTTGTGGACTTTGAACCGATCAAAAACAGAGCGTTCATCTTTTTGTTTACATTATAGTGTGTGTTGGGGTGGGTTGAGGGATATGCCCTTCCTGGCTATCCCTGTACTTCCCAACCTGACTTTAATACAATAAATACTCCCTGCTCACCTACATTAAGACTACAAATATTTTAGGTAAAGTAATGAGTTACTATTTATGCATTTATGCTGTAGGGAGCTGATTACTGTTTGTAGTAGGTTATAACCTTAGGCCCCCGGCAGGATGCCATATCCTACCAGCAACTGTCTAACACATAAATACTTTTAACCTCTCACTCTATTCAACGACCATTAAGGACTACAAAATATTTTTAAGGTAAGTAAGGCGCTGTACTGTATATGCATTTTATCGCTGTAGGTGAGCTTTTAAGCATCGTATGTGTGCGTTGGGTGGCCAGGAGGGGCTACCACCACCTGACTTCTTAGAGATAATATATCACTTTTGTCCTACATTAAAGACTACAAATATTTTGAAAGTGAAATATGAGTATTACTGTGTAATGTCGTATTTTACTTTTAATAGCTCTAGTTCTATTGTTACTCTAATATTTGTTAAGTGAAACTTGTATCTGGCATATGCATATATAATTGGAAAAATGGTGAAGTTCTGTTTCCGGGCGTAAAAGTCTGTGGATCGTGGCAGTAGCCTGGAACCTAAAACTGACGAATAAGTGGGGCCCTACTGCTATATATCATGTTTCTGGGTTATTATATTGTTTATTATGATCATATAGAGATTGCTGCTAGATCAATAAGCCATTTAGAGTTGAATATTATTGTCATGTTGGAGGACTTCTTATCTTGTCCTGTCTCCCTACACAATTACTACATACGCAGAAAGAAACAGACCTTCTATTCCACTTTTGGAGCGAAGGGTGTCCAGTGACTCTCAGCTGTCTAGTGCCATTTAAAAAAAGCAAAGAAGCGAAGATAACCCCAGAAAAGGAACTTGGTACCAAGAAGGTCTTTATGGAAGGGAATTGTACACTTCAAACTGTAATTTCTCCATCCTCTGCCCTCTCCTTGTTCAAGTCACTAAGAAGAGTACTTCAGTAAAGGTATGTGTTATGTTTTTTTGATTTATTCTTCTATCTCATGTGTTGTTTTGTTTTGTAAGGTAAATGTATATTGCTTTGTAAAAAAAGGTCCTTTTTAATACTTTTAGGTGTGCTGCGACAGATTAATGGAATTTACATTTTCTTACGGGGAAATGAATTTGGAAATCGTCAATATTCAGCTTTAGTCACTCTTAGAGAATGGACTTACATACAATAACTGAGGGGATCCACTGTAAGTGTTTTAAATGATGTCAGTGCATTCCTAAATGCAAATTAGACTGGTCATTTGGATGCGTAGTGGAAATAAGTGATGTTATTTGTGTACTTCGGAATTATCAGCAAAATTAGAACATTTCTGCTTCCTATGAGCTCAATTATTACAATACACATACTTTCGTCTTTGAAACAATCATCCAATCATCTCTGTTTCTGTTAAATATAGCTTCCCATTATATCAAAGTGAGACAAAGGAAACTGAGGAATACAACCATAAAAACCACGTGACAGTAACCTCAAATTTGCAGGTTGTTAAACCAAAAACAGTCGTTTTTTTTCCATTATGCACTGCTTGCTGCAGGATTTTTTTTTTATGTGGTGCATTTTTACCACATAGACACATTATGTCATCTCTAGCCATATTTATTGTTTACAGCTATATGAATGAGCTGAGCTTCATGGAGTTAACTATGTGACCGGACCCTGGCTTTAACCCTTTGACTGTCGCGGCCGTATTATGTACGTCTTAAATTGGTACAGTGGTTGACGTATATATACTCATAATAGTCTAGCAGCGTCAAATCAAGCAGGAGAAATGCTGTAGGCCCCACTGTGATGAGGAATAGGGTCTTGGTGTGGTCGCAGTTTGCTGCACCATATAAAAAAAAATTCCTCGGACAGCACGCAGTGCCAATTATGAAGGAAAAACCACTCCGACCGTTTTTTTAATTAAAATTGCCACACTTTGTGTCTATTTTCAATGTATTGTATTTTTATGTTTGTACTGTATTCTCATTTTTCTTGGTCTCATTTGATAGAATGGAAACATATTATAGGAAGATAGAGGTGAATTTTGATTTGATTTTATATAACCTCTATAGAACTAGAAATGGACGTAAAAGTAGGAATGTATCCAATATTTTGCCAATGTTCAAAAGTAAACCAAATGGTGACGGCCATTTCAATAATGTCCAATTAGCATTCTACTATGCTAGCGCAGAATGGGTTGCATGTTATTTATTCATATTATTACAGTATTGCAGTAGGTCTGTCATAATAGTAAGTCTTGTATTTTTTGTTTGATAAATTCGCAAAATAGAAAGACATGGACTAATATCCGCGGGGACTGGAGATTGTGACTGACGTGATACAAAGAATAATGTTATGTTTAGAGCCAGGATTGGCTGGCATTGTTCCATTCTGGACCTTATTTTGAAAGTGTCATATTTTTTTAGTGTTGTGAAATTGG